ATAAGTCTAAATGACATCCTTTTCCTCAGGCAAATGTTTCCATCTAGTTACATGTCAAGTTTTTCATTACATAGGAAGAATGGATTTTATATCAAAGATTCTTGTCACAAGGTACCCTCATTCCCATTGATAATTTAGTTTGATAATAAAAATAAATATATAGAAACAACTAATTTGGCAATCCATGTCAATTTTGATGAATCTGAAACTGATCATGTATTGCATATTTAACTACATTGTTTAGGATTGAAGAGAACAAACTATAGTAGCAAAACTAAATCCAATAATTACAATCCATTGTGCTTAAGACAACATATATAACATTGTGAAAGAGGTGGATTCCTGTTAATGGTTGCATTTTACAACCTTGAGGGTTTCATAATATCGTGGTCCCTCTTCTCGCATCTACCGTTAGTTCGGTGTCATCCTTATATAGAGAAAAATATAAATGTAAAAATCAAATTTCGCTTTCTAGAACTTACTACTATGACTCTAACAAAAACGTGCATAAAAAAAGGAGGAAGTTGTCAGGAGAATATGGTTTTACGTTGTTGTTGTTGTTTTTTCATGCAAGCTACATCACTGAACTCATCTTTGAAATAAGAAGAGAGTGCGTACTATACTAGGACTTCAGCTTACTGCATCTGTAACAGGAAATTCCAGTTCAATCCTCTTTTCTCCCTTTGGGAACATTTGAGGAGGGGCAATTTTTAAAAACAAAAGTATGTGAGCTTTTTTGTTTTTGTTTTTAACTGCATTTAGAGGCCTGTATTAAAATACATTTCTGCAAAGAGCAGATCCGAGTACGAAGTCATTAGCTAGAGTACGAAGTCATTAGCTATCAGTTCTCCTGCCACTTGGCTGATTGTGTGGAAGGAAGCACAGGAAGCTGCTATGTGAGTTAATTTGCTTTCTGGCAATAAATACCCATTTGCCTTGAAGGTGTAATCAGGGACTAATGAGGAATGTGCAACTTGTATTTGAAGAAAATAAAATCAGTTGTCAAAATTCATCTATGCGCCGTTTAAAAACTGACTGGAACAAATGATATTTCCAAGTTGGGGATGATAAACAGAATAGAACATGCATACTTTTTTCTTTTTTTTTTTTTTACCCGTTCTTATTACATTGAGAGGGACTTTTTATGTTGTGCCAGGACTGGTGACTGTAATCCAAAACTGGGGAGAAAGAAAAGTATCCCATTTTGTAATATCCTCACCTTTCTATAGAAAGAAGATCAGAGAGGGGGGACAGGAAGAGCAGCGGGGGCGCGGGGTGGGGGGCAGCTTTTGCGCCTACCTCCAGCCACAAGAGGTGGAATACAGAAGAATTCCCTACTGCCCCTGGAGTATAGGGGTGCCTACGGGAAGCGGGGCCTGGTGTCTCATTTCCCAGTTAGACACTCGCTTATGCAGTTTCCTGTGATTACTTTACACGGAGGGAAGAAGAACTGGAGAGAGACTGCGGAGCTAGAGGTCGTCCTTATCCCCCACACGTGGGTTTCCTAAGGCACAGTGACAACTTAAAAGAGTTGAGCTGTCTTTCTGGAACCCCATCTGAGGCTGCTGGCCACACGTGAGGAACCCGAGAAAGTACAGGCTGTAGGGTGTGCCACGGAGGAACTGGATGAGGGCGGGGTTGAGAGAGTTCCTTGCTTGTCAGTGACAATAGACAGAGGCCCAAACCTCATGCCTCACAAAGAGTTTTTAAATGTCTCTACACGACACCTCCTAGAAGACACGGATGACCAGTAAAGGTGATTTCAGAGAACAGCGACATCCCGGGGAGAATAAGCCTGAGTTGATAAGACTCAGGTCTCAAATTGGATGCGGCCAGACTTTTTGATGACTGGACATGGTTTGAAAGAAATGAGGTCTGTCCAAGACTTAATTAAAGCACAGAAATGGGGGGCTGGCCAGCACAGGGCTGAAGCTACAGGGTCTTGATGTTGACATGGAGTCTGTCATTTATTTACTTCACTAGACATTTTTCTTCCTTTCTCCTAAGCAATTTTCTATAACCTTTCCTTACACTTTTTTTTTAATTTCAAATATTTTTTCTCATTAGGACATTTGTTTAGAGTTTAAAATGCAGAGACTAGCGGACACAGCTTCTTTTCCTGCAAGGCTGTCCCCCTGAATTTTCTCTAAGGCTCTCATGACTGGTATTGGGTGTGTGAATTCTACAGCATGGCCTTTTATTCGGGGGAAAATGAAGATTTCAAAGAGGTTTTTTTCAAGTACAACCACATACTATTACTCTGTTCTTCATTTACTTTCTTAATAGACTATTTGATTTTCATATTCCTAGTCTCATTTTTTTTTTCATTTTCTGCTAATATCTTTACAAACAGCAGGAGCTGACAATTATTTTGAAAATAAAGGTGGACATAAGCCTATCTAGGAAGGATTCATTACTGTTCTGTTGTTATCAATCAGTATAGCTAAGCAAACTCAATGCGGTACGAAATGGACTATATATACTATTTTGCAGGTTGGAGGGTACTTTGATTTAATAGTAAATAAATGTGCAAGCCTGTTATTTTCCCTAAAGGTTCATTTGTTTCATGTAAACACATCTTAAAACTTCATTAAATGGCTTTTCATAATTTCCACTAAGCTCCCCATTCTGTGCTTTTGGTCCCTAATATCTTTTGTGTTTTCACTGCTGCTGAGGTTGAATTCATTTCATGCCTGTTAATGATTACAGAACTCAGAGATTTTTTTTCCCCTTCTAATTCTAACTGCAAATTCATCATACGGAAAGTAATTGGTTAGACCTAGAAAATGATTCTGGTGAAGAAGGAAGGTATGCTATAATTAGAAAAGCAGGACATTTAGTAACTGGACATCAAGAACCTTGTTAGATTATTCTGTGTTCATTTAACAAAACATCTATTAAGCACTTAGTTGGGGTCAGAACGGAAGTCAGGTCTTCAAGATGGCAGCAAACAAGACCTGATCCCTTTCCATAAAGTGTATTTCACAGGGAGGCAGGGCATTAAGGATTAATTCATCCAATCTGGTGTTACAGTATCATGGAGAAAGTACAATACTTCAGAGCTGAGGAAGTAATGACCAAACTGTGGGTCAAGGAATGAGTACTATAGGGTGTAGAAGGGGCATCATTCTGAAAAGGACTTGATATTAGAGAGAGTTTCTTGTTCAGGGAAGTTCGAGGCTGCTCATGGGTGGGGCGCCCAAGAGAAGGAAGAGAGAAGGAAGAGATGAAATTTGAAAGGCAGGTAAAGCATGATCGGGAGGACTTTGGAATGATGGTGCCATTCCCTTCCAAGTTACCACACTGTATTCCCATTTCAGCCACTGGAATTAGATTCAGGATTCTCTTGAATTGCTTTTGTACCCTTGTGTGACAATTATTTGACCCCAGACTGCCTTTGGGATCTCAAACAAGCCCTGATGAATTACCGGCGTCTTCTCTTTAATTTCCAGCCTTTTTAATGGACTCTGTCTTTGCCATATACTGCCGTACCAAGCAGCACTGTGGGGCATAACAAAAGATTTTACTTTTGTTTGCCAAAGGGAACATTTTCTCCACCAGGAACAATCATTCTTAGGAAGTAGTAGTTAGGCATCGCCATGTGCGGTCAATAAGTCAGAAAGGTTTCATTTTATTTTCCTATTTCCAAAAATACATTCACATTATAGAAAAAAGGGGGAAAGGTTTGAAGAGCTTTGTTGTTCAGTAGGTTGACTAGGCATGTTGAAAGTAGCTCCAAAATATAGCAACGAGGCAGGTATAACAGCCAGGCAATGGTGGAAGCTAACATTTACCGAGTGATTACTGTGATTCCCACATCTGCCAAGTGATTTATTCTATTACCTCATTTTATCCAACCCAGTGAGGCTGAAGCTATTTTTCACAGAAGGGGTAAAGAATCGCTGAGAAGTTAAATAACTCACAAGATTGCAGAGCTGGGATTCAGATCAGGCAGTCAGACTCAAAGGGCCTCTTAAGAGGAAATGAAGCAAAATACACCTTGAAAATACACGGTTTTAAAAAATGTATTGACACTGTGAAAATGTTTATAAATGTCTTTCCTCCCTAATAACCCTTTAGACAAAATTCAGAGTTTAAAGTGGCTTTTTAAACCCTAAATATGGTAGATTTCCCTTTGTATCTGCTTTTATCCACTCAGAATCTACAGAGTAGGATGAAGTAGTTTGATTTTTATGTATTTATCCCTTCCCTTCTTGGAAGTTCATTTCTTGTACTTAACAGAGTTCACAAGCTTTACTCAGCAAAAGTGATTGGAATTTATTGTACAAAATGGGATTAAAGAGCTATTGCATATTTACAACAAATTTTTCATAAGTTGAATTTTTTAAAATATATTTTCAAGGCCACTGAGCAGAACATTCCAGAAAAAAAGAAACTGCACTTTCTGGGATAAATTTATCTTCTTTTTAAAAAATACTTCTGAGGATCTCTTTTCTAAACTGCAACATAAGTGGAAAGAAGCCACTGCTACGTTATAGATAGTCTATTTCCTATGAAATCAAATTGATAAGTTGACATGTGTACATTGATAATTTCAAGTACAAAGCAGAATCAGTTAGCTACAGGTGCCAAACAGGTTTCATAAAGGAGATAAAGTGGGTGATACGACCGAGACCATAAAACGTGTTGGAGAGATAGCGGGTGGTCATGACTGGGTACGGATAAACAGAGACTAAAAATCAAACGCTGTCTGTCTCTCATTGGTTCATGGTCAGCATAAACGCCTTCACTAACTGGGGTGTGAAAACCTACTTCCTAGGAATCTGCTACTTCTCAAGCTTATGGATGGTGTTAGTTTCAAAATGTTTGTAGTGACTGCATTTGTAAATAATGCCATCATTCAGAGCACTACCCAGATCCTTCTTTGAACTGTGCTGGATGAGCCCTCCAGGTGGGCAACGCCAGCTATCCTTTCAGCCACACTCACTGTGTGTCTCTCCCCACCCCGCCCCCCTATTGTGTGCATGCTTCTGTTTCAGGGAAGGCCAGCAATCGCCAGAGCAATGGCAGAAGACATACGGCAGATGTTCTGGGAATGAAGTTTACCATATTACTTTGGAAGAAAGTACATTTTTTGCCGAATACGAAGGAAAGAGTTTTACGTATGCCTCATTCCATGCACACAAAAAGTATGTTTCTGCTTCCAGAGTGGAATTAAAATCTGACTGAACTGTAGCTTTTGAATATAGTTTTCTAAAATACAACCCGTACTGGTGCTCATGAGCTGCAAGACTGGGCTTTTTCACATGGGTATTGAGACACTTCAACTCTGGCCTTCCGTATGGGCTCTACCAGTTAAGACCATCAGGTGGAAAGTATAATTTGGTAGAAATATTTACTTTAGTAACTTTTAAATTATCTTTAAAAATATTTCTATCATGAAGAATTCATACATACATGAAAATTCATCCTTTATAGAGCTATATTTGCAAGTGTTAACAATTTAAACAAAGTAATAATATTTATAAAAACTAGACATTTTAAAAGACTTCCATTGGTCAGAAAAATACATTAAAAAAGTGACAGTTTCATCTAATTCAAACATGGAACATTATGTGTTCCCTTTTTTTGAAAAAGTATTTAACTAAGAAATAAAACCATGTTTATCACAAAAATAATCAGTGCTATAAATATATTAATATAACATCTTAGCATTTGTAATATATCTAGTATAGTCTACTAATCCAATATCCAGTGTATTCCACTTTACTTCTCAATGTGATTCTATTCATATATATATGTGTGTGTGTGTGTGTGTGTATATACTTTTGATGTTTTAAAAAATATTTTTAAGCTTGATTTATTTGTAACACTGTGAGCATTCTGAAATAAAAGTATTCAGGGCATTTTGGTTTTGGAAGTTATCCTGAAGAAGTATACAAGACTTTTAAAAGTAATGTTTGTTACATTCACTGGTTGTTATTTCTCCTAATTAAGCTGAATATCTATTTGAGACTATTTAAAATTTTGTTTTTTAAACTTAGAGTAAACCAAATACAGCAGAAACAGAACAAAAGTAAATTTAGGGACCCTGATTCTTTCTTATGTGGCCTTGGGTAAGTTTCTTTCTCTCCTTTAGGCCAATGGTTTTCAAACTTTTTTGATTAAAGTAAGAAATACTGCTTTACATTTTTTGAACAAAGTAAGATATACATTTTGTGGTAAGACTCAGTATACATACAACAAATTTTACAAAATGTTATTATCCTTACTATATGGAATGCAGTTTGATGTTTTCTATTCTCTTCTATTCTCCTTCATGTATATATGTATACATACATATATATGTTATAATCAACTAAATTGACTTCACAACACACTAAGGATCTAAGAGTCTTGAACTATTAGGATACTTTGAATCTTTTAAATTCTTTAATTTGGTGCTTTAATTTTCCTTTCCTTATAATAGTTTACTAATTTTCTCACATATGCAAACTTAACAAAACTAAAACCTTTGCTGAGTTACAATTCTTAAAGTCTTATTTTCTTTTTAATATTTAGGTATGGTGTCTGCTTGATTGGTGTTAGGAGGGAGGATAATAAAAACATTTTACTGAATCCAGGTCCTCGATACATTATGAATGCTACAGATATATGTTTTTATATTAATATTACCAAAGAAGAGAATTCAGCATTTAAAAACCAAGACCAGCAGAAAAAAAGCAATGTACCAAGGTCATTTTATCATGGACCTTCTAGATTACCCGTACATAGCATAATTGCCAGCATGGGTAAGTATCAAGCAATTTGAAAATGCCATTTGCTTCTTTCTAAAAATCATAATAATAATAAATATACTTCAATTTTTATTAAAATTTCAAAGTCAAATTTAGAACATACTTGTATGTATTACAAACTTGGTGTAACCAAGTATTTAGAACAAAATTTCAAAGCTGTTAAGTTGGTAAGAAATTAAGCTAATTCAAAGCTACCAACAATTATTTTATATTTATGATTAGAATATAAACACCTGCCATGTCTATACTTCTTTTGTAAGTCCTCTATCTAGGTATCAACAGGCTATTTCAAATATTCTTTATTTTTCTTAAAACTTTCCTTCCATCCCCATCAAATTCTTACCATTGAATATGGCTTCTACAACACAGATCTTAATTTAAAAGAAAAAAAATATCCAGACAAATAAGAATTTCCTTAAAATTTTGCCACTGAACTACCTACAAACCTACAAAGATTTAGTTTCTGTCACAAGGAAAACATTCTTTTTTTAAAAGTAATATTAATACCTTCGCTTATGCTGTGGATCCATATTTTTTTTCCTTTCCAGGGACTTCATTCTTTATTTTAATTCATCCTATCTATTTTTTTGTTTGTTTTTTCAAAAACACTGGTAAACTCCTCTCTGTCTGACTCGTTTCACATTTACACACACATACACATTTATCATGATCTAAAATGGCTTATTTTTTCATTTGTCTACTTGACTATTTTAAAGATAAATCCATATGTGTAGAAACCTGGTCTGTCTTGTTCCCTGCACATCCCAAGTTCCTAGAATAGCACTTGCCACATAGTAGGTACACAATGAATATTTGCTGCATAAATATAAAATATTAGTTGTTCTAATATTAAAAGTGGTCACACACGTCTTGCTAGAGAGACCGCTTTTGTAAAGGCTTGACCACTGCACTGTACACCTGAAGCTGATGTTGAATAATATTGTATGTCAACTATAATTTTATATCTATCTATCTATCTATCTATCTATCTATCTATCTATCTATCTATCTATCTATCGTCACGGGATGTGGAGTATAGTGTGGGGAATGGAGTCAATGAAATTGTAACAGATACGTACAATATCAGGGTGAGGCGGTGGGCTGGGGGAAGGGGTTGAGGAGTGAAAAGTGTAACAACTATTACATTGTTTTGTAGACTTGAAACTAAAAAAAAAAAAAGGGGGGGGGTTACAGATTAGTAAGACAAAGATAAGTCAGCAAAATGGAGAGGGGAGTGGGGGGGGGATGTAATTGGAGTAAAAAAAAAAAAATAGCCAAAGATTTTTTTTGTTAATTTTAAATAAATGTGACTTGAAACAAGGTAGCTTTTAACTTTAAATCCCTAAGTATTTCAGGATTTCACAAATCTTTTGTTTCATGCTATAGAGCTAAACTCAGTCAGTACACTTTTGCACAAATACAGAATTTTTTTTCATGTAGACACAAATGCCCACGTGAAAAAGTAAATAACCTTTGAGATTAGAGAATGAACAATAATATGTTTCCTGGTTATACTGTCTCTCGTTTCACTTTGCTCATGAAATGATCTCTAGGTCCTAACAGTGGCAATGTTTTGACGGACGCTCATGTTTCATTGTTTTAGGTACCGTCGCTATAGACTTGCAAGACACAAGCTGTCGATCCGCAAGTGGCCCTACCCTGTCTCTTCCTACAGAGGGAATCAAAGAAGTCAGAAGACCCAGCATCGCTCCTGTTTTAGAGGTCGCAGACACGTCCTCCATTCAAACATGTGACCTTCTAAGTGATCAATCAGAAGATGAAACCACACCAGATGAAAAAATGTCCTCCAACTTAGAGTATGTGTAGATCCTCGAGGCTGTAAGATGTGCTGGCATTTGTGCGTGCCATGGGAAGTCACGTCCATACGTTCTGGGCATCCTAGAACCAAACCTCCGTATTTCTACCAAAACAGCCTTCCTACGCCTCTCTCTTTTGGACTATAAAGGCTTATAAAAAGCCTTTAAATTTCTGACTTCAACATATATTTCCAGGCTTCCTCTAAATTATCTTTTAGCATTCAAGAAAAAAATACATAAATCAGTATTTCCATGATAGAAGCTATGTTTTCATAACTGTAGGCTTGGTTATATTGTACCTTCTAACTTTAATTTATTTTCTTTCACGTCCTTATTGATGTTCAATCAGTTACTCAGTGACGTGTACAATAGCTTCCTCCATTACGCTTCTTTTATCTCAGTGTTCATCAGCCTTTTTCCTACAGGATACACCATTTTGAATGAATGAATGAGTGAATATGAATGAATGAATGAACTGGTTCTCTTTACTAAGCTTCCATAATAAATTGTACCAATATACATGCTATAATCACCTTTTAGCCTTCAGTGGAGCTTGTTTACTTGTCGTAGACACATACTATATTTTCGTTTCTTGAGCAAAGCACAGTGGTCAACAGCCTTGACTACTGAGTCTCAAGAATTTGCTTCCCAGGGCAGTTCCACCTTTAGGGCTTGTGTGCAAGTGACCTTGATTAAACAATGACTCACAGCGTCTTTATCTGCAAACTGAGTATAATTATTGCCTCATAACGGTCATATGAAGATTAACTGAGACAATTCTTTTGTGTGGAGTAAGCATTTGGTGATATTAATTACTGTTACGCGTAGTACTAGGTAGTTGTGGCGATGGTAACATCATTCAAACACTGCTCCCAACAGTTTTCATATGAATAGATGTTTAATTAATGCTGAATTGCATTACAATCAACTGAAATATAGTTGAAACTTAGAAAAATCCTTCTTTTAACCCTTCACACTGTTTAAACATTTATTACAAGGAACATTGCTATACCCACCAAACACAGTCCCCTCTCTAAGAAATCAATAGCACTCAGATATATTTATGAAATATTTGATAGGAACAAGGAGAGGTTTGATCATCATTATAGTTCTAGAAATGGTATTGTAGGATGTGATTGAAATTCTTTACATCTACTTCTGAAAAGGCCGACAGGAAGATATTTTTTTATTTCCAGAAAAAAACGAGAAAGATGAACTAATAGCACAAATTATCGACTTCTAAATTTGTCAAACGTGTTCCATTTTACCCTCCTAGCCAATGATGTCTGGAAAACAGCTTCAAGTAGGTTTGAAATTTCTTGGTTTAGAAAGTAAATTTTTATCAAGGAAAAAAGAGCTTGTTCATACTGGATAAAGGAACTTTGCCTTCACCAAATTTTCTTTTATTTCTTAACTTTCATCCATGCTGCTACTTTTTGATAGTTTCATTTTAAAAATTAGCACTGCCAAAATGTGCAGGTGGCCATTTTTATGTTTGCAAACTGCATATCCTTGTAAGTATTTTAAGCATGCTTCTAGCAAATAGTCCTTTTGGTGTGGGGGGGGGGTTAATTGTATGATTGACTCCATATTTACTCCTTTTTAGTTATACATTATGGCTAATGAATATTGATAAAGTGAATCATAATAACGCAGTTTGCTTTAAATATGTCCTGTAAAAATTAACACTGCTATTTAAAAAAAATCTATCTAAATCTTTTCAACTGAGTATTGGCAAGCTTTATTTGAAAAGAACCAGCTAGGAAATATTTTAGACTTTACGGATCACATGGTCTTTCCTGCAACTTTTCTGCAACGGCTCAAGTCTGTTTCTGAAGCATGACAGCACCCACAGACAATACAGAAAATGAAGGAGCAAGGCTGTGTTCCAACAAAGCTTTACTTGTGGCCACTGCAATTTGAATGTTATATAATTTTCACGTCACATTAAATAGTGTTCTTATTTTGAGTTTTTCCCCCCAGCCATTTAATAATATAAAAGCGATTTTAATTCACAAAGCCAGGTGATGGGCCAGATTTGGTCCCTGGGCATTAGTTTGCCTCCCCCATCAAATCTATTTGCATATCAAAATGTAATTGGGACACAAAAAGCCACAGCATCTAAAAGGGGAACATGGGGGAAGTTAATCATCCAACTTCCTGCGTGCTATTCAAGGTGATTCAATATTTCTCATTGTTTTACAGATACGCTAAAGGTTACCCACCTTATTCTCCATATATAGGAAGTTCACCCACTTTTTGTCATCTTCTTCATGAAAAAGTGCCATTTTGCTGCTTACGACTAGACAAGGTAAGCATGTGTTACCATTTTTTCTGTGAAATGAAATTGTGGCATTTTGTAATTGCATATATTTACATAATTTTGTGCTGTCTTCCGAGTGCAGTGTTTAAAGAATATTATCTCTTCAAATGTAAATGTGTTCCATAAAGTGGTGAATTTTACTTTCTTAACTGCACTAAAATGACCCAAATGCTTTACCTCTCTACTCAAAGTACCCAATAAGTCAGTCAGTCATGTTTTTGAAGAGCAAAACAGATGCCACACTCTCAACATCCAGAGTTTCCCCAAATCACTTTGGCCAAACATGCACTACTTTTGTTACCAGGCATTTTTGTCAAAGTCGCAATGCGGAATCGCTTGACATGGTCAGGTTATTCACAGAGATTCACTCACAGTTCTGGGCTCCTGCTTGTATGTTGTAGAGAAGCCATCCAAAAGAGAAAGATTCTGAGAATCCAAGAGTTTTTCTCTCTTGCACAGTATGGCCATTGGGCTTGACCTGCATCAGAATTTATTCTCCTGATGAGTAGGAAAGCAAATGAAAAGAAGATACTTAACCTCCCACCCCCACAAGTCCAAATGCACCACCAATCTAGCCAAGAATTTCTTTTCTCTGAATTTGGAATTCGCCAGAGTAAAAAAATCCCGCCTCTCTTCTTATGACCTGTGCAATTTGGGTGAATAACTTCACCACTACATTTCCAGTCCACATCTGTAAAATGGTTGCGATTTTAATATGAATGCTGCAGTGCTCTTGTGAGGGTGACATAAATTGGTGCATGCAAAAAGCTTAACACAGTGTTGTGCCATGAACCTAGAGAATGCGCAGACCCTCAACACATTGCGTTAATATTCTTGCTGTTGTTTTTCATTACGAATCCTGGCTGTTGCTGCCCCTCTTTGGAAGATTAACAGAACGTTACAGCAGTCCTGCCTTTACCTTCCAGAATTCGCTGTGTGGGCCTTGGACGGTCCGCCTCTCAGCGCCTTATTCTCTTCTCAGTCCTGGCTTTACCCTACTGTCCCCTAGCATTTCATACTCTGGCCAGCTGTGTATTTTTGGCAACATGAACGCATTGCAGGCTGCAGGGCCCTTCCCCTGTGTTGGCCCCTTCTGAGACGCTGTGACTAATTTTTTATTTATACTATTTTTGCTATTTTTCCTTGAAGATGATTTCCAAAATAATATAAACTTTAGGCCCCACACAACCACACAAGTGAAAGAAGGATTCACTTCTGGTGACGTTTTACGTTTCAAATACAGAATGAAAGAGAAAAAAATATATATTGGGAGAACAGAGAGCAGAAATGATTTCTGGACGCGTAGGGAGCCTGATAACAACTGAAAGCCTAACCTTTCCGAGATCAGCACTGGGGGAGGGGCATTCGAGGGTCCTTTCAAGCCCAAAGGCCATGCATGACCTGTCTCTACCTTATGGAGCATGCAGAGGTGCAGACTGCTGAAATCTGGGATTATCCAATACTTAGGTGACATCAGGGTGGCTGGGAGAGGTGGGCGTTTATGTAAATGACTAATGAGGGGGCGGGATTACGCAGCCAATCCCCACTGCATCTGTGAAGTGTGTGACTTGGGGTCATGCTACCCACTCCGTAGGGGAGCTGCTTCCTGGTCAAGGTTGTCCAACACCAGATTCCCTCCCCTTTTTTTTCTAACTAGTTGAGCTACTTCTAAGTCTCCCAAATTAGTTGTCTTCCCTCATTGTATGTCATCAACATTGACATTCTTACTGACCCTGACAGGAACCTGTTGCCCTTCCACAACCTCTCTGAGTGACCTTGGTAATGTGTTGTTATTGTTTTGGTTGCTATTATTAGTGTTAGGACTTTACTTTTGAGTACTTCTATCGTTATCTTGCCAGCACAGGTAGACATTTAGACAATTAGGGTTTTGTTTGTTTGTTTGTTTGTTTGTTTTTTAACAACAACACCCCCTGTTTTGTACCCATCCCTTTAGGTATTCAGTACTGGGAATGTTCCAAGGTTATTTAATTATAATATTGCTATACTTCTGTAAGTGAAAGTCAAAGGTAGATCATTTTTTGAGGTGTGATGGACAAGTAAAAATTGTATGTATGTAAGGTGCACAACGTGATGTTTTCATATACATACGCATTATGATCATTTGAAGGTACAGATACCCAGATGTCGTCGAGCCACAAGTTTAACTTACAACAGAATATGTGTACACACATATTGCTGAGTTTTTCTTCCCCCACATCAAGCTGCATGACTGTCATTCATTTGTCTTGTTTTGTATACCTCCATTTCCTAACACAGGCTGGAGAACTGGACATAGTTTCAAATTTGTTAGAAACTAAAGGATTTACTAAGTTAGATTAACTTTCCATATCCATATACCCTACATTATTTCACCAAATTTTAGTGGAGTATAAAAAATGGCATTTCTTTGTACATTTTTTCTTCTCTAGAGTTGCCAGCATAACTACTATGAGGACGCAAAAGCTTATGGATTCAAAAATAAACTAATTATAGTTGCAGCTGAAACAGCTGGAAATGGATTGTATAATTTTATTGTTCCTCTCAGGGCATATTATAGACCAAAGAAAGAACTCAATCCCGTTGTACTGCTGTTGGATAACCCGTAAGTATATTTCAAAATACACAAAGAAGACAAAGAGTTTTCAGTATTATGTCAAAAATAATTCCTTTTCATTTGTTTAGAATATTTTAAATCAGATACATTATGGCACATGATTCACTGGGAGATAGATTCTGTGCTATGGTACAAAACAGTCATTATCTATGGTTGTATTTCACAAATACTACTTAAAACATCACTAGAATATCCTGAGCTCACTTACAACTATTTTATAAGTGGTCATCACTCAACAGCAGTGGGAAACATGCCACTAAATAATTACAGCTCTTTTCCTTACATTAATCAGCTAGCCTAGAAAATCTCTGCCAAAGCTGGATACTTTTGTTGTCTTTCTAAAGAACCATCAATTATCAGGAAAGCATATTAATGATCCATCTTGGTCTGTTGAACCATGATGCATCATCATAAATTATTATGATTCGTCCTTGGTTAAAACACACATTTTATAATATCACATGAATAATTAATGCTTTCCCATGTTCATTAATTTTGAAAATGTTGGACTGATAGACTTGTGAAATTAGACTACTTAAGCATTTCAAAATTCTTATGCAAATATAAATATAGGTCACTGAACGCTATAGTCAAATCCATAGTATCTTAAAATTAGAACATTCCTCTCTATGACCAGAAATTAGGAGCAGATGGTCCTTATGTTAAGACTGTATTTGAGGGTCCTCCAGCCCCCTCTTCAATTCCAAAGTGCTGTGAATTTCAGGATAAAACTCAATGAGGCCAAAATCTGTCGCCTTGTCTCTGCCTTAAAATTTATCAAAATAAATTTCTTGAAACAGAGCTATTTCCCCAATATGTTACAACTTCATGGCATTATTTATTCTAAACATACCAATATCAAGATATTCATTGATGCATCTTTTTAAGCATCATTAGCATAGTGGTAATCAATTATAAAAGCTGAGCACACCTCTAGAGGGTTTTGTTAAAGAATTTTTAGGTGTCGTGACTCAGAGATTATTTTGTCATCCAAGGGAAAGTGAGGTAACTTTAGGGTAGGTGTGGGCGAGCAGACATCAGGACCCAATGTCAGGAGAAATAAAAACTCAATATAACAAATCTTGGGAGAGTAAGTGTTGGGTTGCAGGTTAGTTATGGCAATAGAGTGGTTGAAAATCACTACCAGGGCCTTTGCATATATCCCTTTATCCTGGAACTTCTCTGGTCGGAAGCTCTAAGGGACTGGTTGAACTGGCATCCGAGAGATGCTCAATTAACTATGTGAAGGTGGCAGGTTTTAGCTCTTTTTGCATTTGGTGTCCACTCCCTTAGAGATAGAATTTAAGACAGGGACATTGGCAAGCTCATTTGCCTTAGAACATCCCATGTTGTATGGCTTGGACCAAAGTGGATCAGCTCAAGACCAGAATGCAAGGAGGAAGATAGGACAAGTCTTGAAGAGGAAGAAGTGGAACTGTGCTTACAGCATCCCAGTGGTAAAGCAAAGGGTAAAAACTGCCCTTTCCCCAGTTGTACAAGGTCAAATTTCTTGTCCTGATGTGTCAATCTCCTAACTGGGTTCCTGGACCCGATTTCAATTCTGTTGGGGTGAGTGGCTCTCCACACTTCCAACAAGCAATTCTTGGGGCACCGAGATTCAACTCAGTCCTGACACTCTACCTGGGGACAGCACCAGATTCCACAAGTTAAGGGCCCAGTCCTACAAGACTGGCCCCAGTCTCCTTCATATGGCAATCGCAAGCCCAGGTCAATTCTAGAATTAGAAACTTCTCTGCAATTCAGAGTTCATTGTTCTTTTCAACTATACGATCTTACCTAACTTACAGGTTTTTTATTTACAAATAAATGTTGTTTGTCAATTCTTTGTAGAAACAAGAATAATATTTTAACTGTGCATTACTTTGCATTAAAAAGTTTCTTTGCTCTCCTAATGACTTAAACTTTGCAATCCAACTATTCACATGTTGTTGTCTCTTAGATGATTTTTCTGGGGTTTGATTTTCTTCCAAAGGATTAAGGTGATGACTGTACATGTTGTAAAATTTACCAGCTTTCTGTGTACTTTCTGCAAGTAGTATCTAGCATTTTTATTAGTTGTACTCTGTTCCTTTGGTCAAGAATGAGGAAACAAAAGCTAAACACAAATATATAATGTTCCAGGAAGTTTTATGCAATCTTTTTTTTTTTTAAACAATGAAGTGCCTGTTGCTCTGCAGTGGCTAGTATTTTGCAATCCTACAATATTACAAAAAAAAAATAAATAGGATGTTTAATTCTTTAAAATATTTCCATGTTATAAGAATTTGTACATGGATGGTTGTACACAATTATTAGTTAGCTTCGTGGGGTTGGACTAAATTCACATGAGCGTTGTTGAAAATAATATTCAGTATGTGGCTATTTATGAAATTTAGTTGAAGAACCAATTAAATCAATATAACAGAAATAAATAATAACAGATGTCATCCGTATAGGACTTTAAAATGTAAATTACACTTATAATATTTACACACATTATATATCAAAGAAAGTGTCCACAATGTTTTCAAATAGAAAGTCTCATAGGTCTCCTGTGGTCATTAAATAAAACTCAGTCACACTGGGAAACATCTTGAACTTGATACTGGTTCGTTAGAGCTGGTCTCACTTCTGACTGGTTGGCCATCTGTTCTGTTTGGTCTATTGTCACACTGAGTTTAAATATTTTGATTACCACCCCAGCCTTAAAGGTCATCTAGTGATCTGATAACACCATTTCATGAGAACTGGAAAAGAGAGTCAAAATCTTTGGAATGTATTACGGGAAGGTACACAAAATTGAAGTGCAAAGTCCAGGCTTATGTTTCTAATTTTTACATCTTGTTTACACTATCCCTTTATGAAATTTTCTGTATGCATATAGTGTCAAGTAAACTTCAGCTCAGCTTAGTTCAAAAGTAACGATAAAAGTCTGATGATATATCAGCGTCCTCACTGAAGATGTTTAAACTTTGGACTTAAGCAGATCTGAAATAAGGTCCCAGCTTACCGGCTTGATAGGCCTGTCACATGTTATCAAATTTCTCTAAGCCTCAATTTTTTATTTGTAAAATGAGTAGAACATTGATCATGAGACTACTGCAAAATCTGACTTGTAAAAGTCAGTCCAGAAAGGTCAGCTTCCGTCCCTTCTACCAATCAAGAAAATGACGTTGTCAAGATTCAAACTGAGGGGTAGATTTGTGTGCAAACCAATTAATAAAAAGTGGCAATTTATTTCAAGTAGTTAAAATTAAACTATTTATTTTTATGGGAGAAAAAAACTACTTAGCAATGAAATTATGAAATGTTAACAAAATAAACTGTCTCACTACACTCATTTATTGAATTTGAAATAAACAAATTAAGTTTATTATAGCTATTACTAAAATGGGAAGCAATGATATTCAACTTTGCAAATCCACACAAATTCACAAATCTGTTCACTTCCTGGCAATCACTAGCTAATTAATGTTTATATATCACAGCAATTTTTTACAGTGAAATATTTCTTGAGGATATGTTTTGGACCCGTAAGTTGTCATCTTCTTAATAGAATTACAGTTAGGATTTTGATTAATGGTATGTTCATTTGTTTTCTGTTTACTAACATCAATTACTTCTTGTGTTTGTTGAATTTTTATTTTTTTATTACTAGTTAGTTTTAGCAGGTTTTATCTTGGTCTATATTTATTTTGTCCTAGATCTATTTTCCTGTCATGTTTATCTTTCTTTTTTTGATTTGAAATGCTTCTTTATATATAAAGAAAATTTCATCTATAATTTTGTATAAGTGACACATTTTTAAATACTCGCTTCTTATATATTAAATTTTTTGCAGTGAACTTTACAGTTAAATCTATCAATAATTTTCACTACTTTACCTGAATATCATTTCTAATATAGGTATACTTTATTTAGCAGTCAGATAAAAAAATTGCATACATTTTGTTTTATTGTATTAATGGTTTTATTTTTCTACATTCCATTCTTCATTTGTACTTTGGGGATGTAACGTAAGAAAGGGGCATTTACTCTTATGAATATTTTATGTTTTTGCTCAATGTTTTTCAATAACAATCATTCTCAATGTAATGGTGATACTTGCCAATTAACTCTCTCAATAATTAGAAAAATTAGTCTATTAAGAGCCTATGCTATCATGCATGTTACTCATTAATTACTAAGCAGTCTAGAGCCATAAACACTGTTGTCAATTTATTTAAATGAGCCAACATAATGCATGTACGTGTATAATTGATACATCATTTTTATTTCACGTTTTCTTTAAACCACCTTTATAAGTAGGAATAGTGGATGGATCTATCTGTTATGCAAGTTAAAATTTGCAGAGTATGGCATATTAGACTCCCTACATTTTATATGCTTCACCAGGATCATATATTTACCTGGTTTTAGAGAACTCGATTTACCTAATAACGTAACTGCATTCATGCAAGGATAAACCATGACACCACGATACAGACGTCAAAGTAATTTCTAAGGATTTGGAAGATTGCTTAAGTCCTGTCAAACACATTTGTGGCAGAATTGCATGCGACTAAAATTCACGAGTTTTCTAAAACAAGGCAATAATTTTGATGTCCAAGTACCTTTCATGAGTTCTGCTAGACAAAGCAGCGGAATACAAAGGCCATTCATTATCTTTGGTTTTAATTCTAACAGAAGGGTGGCATAATGGAAGGACTTCCTTTGCCCACATAGACACCAGTACTTTTTATTACATAGGAGATTTTCAGTATCTTTAAGTTGAATTTCTCAATAATATTACTGTTGCAAGACTTCAGAGGAAAGATATGTCACAGTGGACAGATGGTCAGAGAAGACAACATAAATAAATGGAAATGATCTGAATTTTACAGAATGAGTCGGATGAAAATGGAGGTCACTCGAGCCAGGGTGTGTATCTACAATGAATAATAATAAAGGATTATGGGCCAAAACATGCCATATAAGTTACCGAGCTGTTCACTTGATCTGACTGGAACTGTACAGGAGCAAAGGGAGTTACAACAAAGTAATAACAAAAAACACAGCAAAAGGATTGTTCAAACCACCACAAAATCTCAGCGCCTCCCCAGTCTTGTGGTGTTTGCATCCTCACAGGTGCATCTACTGTCATGCGGTAGCATAAGAGAGACATGGAGGGTCTTGAATCATCACTTAGAGTGGTCCTTCTGATTTGAAGAAGCAAGGCAGTGCCCAGAAAGAGGAAAACAAGATGGCGCTATCAAAGGCGACCACTGGGAGTGTACACTGTTACAATATTTGTTGAAAACAACATGATAAAGAGTTATAAACATATTTTATATGCTGTGATTCACTAATAACCCTTCTGTGAGTGTTTTAGGGTAAGGGATAAAAAACTAATGCTAGAAACGAAAAGCCATCTGAAGATGTCCATATCAGTATTATTTATAACAGCAAGATATTGGCAATAACTTGTAACATCAATTATTGATAGCATAAAAGTGAACATGACTTATACACTGAATAACTGAGGATTTTTAAAATGAATTTGGGGTACATTTACAATATGTAACAATACAGGTCCATTTAAAATGATGGGAGGATTTCATAAACATTACAACAGTGGTATTCTTTGGAAGATTTATTTTTATGCTGTAGTGTATTGGGCTTTCTTTTTTTTTTCTTTAGACGGTAAAGGGATAAGAGGATGACCAATAGGAGAGAATTAGCCAGGGAAGCACAGACTTCATCTGGCTGAGACAAACACCTGGTGCACTATGGGTGCTATACTTCCCTTTGCCTAGAGTTTTTCTCTCCTCTTTTGCTGAGCAAACTCGCCCTTCAACATCCAAATTAAATATCACCTCTGTGAAATCACCCCCAACTCTGCCTTCTCCGTGCAACCTATTGTTTACTTTTTCAGATATATATTGCAATTGTGTGCTTTTGTACATGTGTTCCACAAAATCTGTATGTTATAGTACAAGTTGACGCAATATCCATTTCTGCATATGCCTGAGTATATTAAAATATCTGTTATATAAAATGTTTTGAATACATATGTGCTGAGTGGATAAATGCATAAAAGAATAACTTCATAAGGTAAATACAATAGATTAAGTGATTTCTAAGGGAACGTCCAGGTTTATGATTCTTTCCCCAAATATGCATATAAGTAAGGATTTCAGTTATAATAAATATTTACTCAATAATAATATTAAGTAGCAATAATTGAAAAGGTGAATTAGCTTCATTTTAATTTTATATAATACATAGAATGCATGGGTACATATACTGTATATATTTATTGATATGCTGATATACTCGTATTAAGGGGCATGTTGTAATTCCGTATATTATTTAGAGAGACATGCTTAATAGGCAGGCTAATTCAGTTCCCTGTGCTTTGGGTCACCTAAGAAAAAAATTATTAGTTCCTCATTTTACAAGGCCTCCTCTGCATAAATAATTGTTCAACTCATTGATAAGACTTTGAGTCATATTTAAGGGTATCAATTCAGTGTTTTCGTAGAATAATGCCATAATGTTTCTGATTTAGAAAGCAGACATACAACTTGTTTTTATAATTCTGAGTGCATTGTGCTATTCATAAAAAGTACAAATGTCATTTTTTTTTTAATGAATGTTAAGAAAAAAAGCACCTAAAATGAATCTTGTCTGGTGTTTAGTTTTGGAAATGCAAAGTCGACTTACTTCCTTTCCCTACAAGTACTGCCAACTGTTGTGACACTGTGTTTCATTTTGTGACCCATCTGCTGCTTAGGCCAGATATGCATTTTCTGGATGCAATCTGTTGGTTTCCAATGGTTTACTACATGGTGGGCTCTATTGACAAGTAGGTGACAAAGTCTTTGGCGAACTAGCGTGGTGTCCCGTGGTTTGTCCTGTGCTGTGCCTCCCCACCACCCCGCCGTTGCATGATGAGTGTCATTTCCCATTTTAGTATTGCAAATAAGATGTATTTTGCATGTAGAGCTTATGTTCTCGTATTACATGTCTAGTATTCAAACTTCCTAGCAGTAATCTGTTGTACAATTAAAGCAAATTTTGCTGCATGCCAATTTTGCCAATTTTATCTAGTTTAAAGATGCTTCAGTTTTGTGTCGTCTACAGCAATGCCGTAATTCCTCTTGACATCATGGTAGAGAAAACCAAAAGATTTAGCGTCGTGATACATCGATGCCATTATCATAGCTTCTGGAAACCTTTCAAATAATTCAGAAATGCTCATTTTAAGTCACATTTATAAACTGGAGCATTTCCTTAAGAGTTTATTTTATTCTAGTAATAAATATCAGAGTTTATAATTCCTAATTAAAATAGAATTGTTAATTAAAAGGTCAAACATGTGTAATGCTTCAGTATTAAAATCCATATTATTTTATATGCATGAACATATCATAAAAATGTACAAAAGATCAGAAAACTAATATGCTTATAAAATGTTAATTTTTTATCTAAAAAAGAGTGTCAGCCAGAACCTTCAAAACAAAATGCTTAACTTTATCAAAATTGAGAACTTTCATGATTACATTTCATCCTATAGATGTTGAAAATCAGTTTCTAACTTTGTTAATGTTTACTGGTTGTGGCTATATCAAAGCCCAAACAGACTAACATATATGTAGACATATGTTAATGAAGACATAACATTTTACGTTAATATAATTTACATTAACAGTTATAATACTAATCAACTAACTAAAATTAGTTAAAGGTACTAAAAACTATTCATGAAAATGAAATCAATCCATATTTTATCACTAGTAATGTTCCTCTGACATATTATTCAATTAGAAATCATTAGAAAAACAGCATATTTAAAGGAAAGAATAAAACCTCCCATATGTATTTGCTTATGTAAACTATGAAATGAATTCTTCCTCTGTAAAAGTATTTATGGTGAAAAAAAGAATTGAGAGGCTCAAATTCCTAGGATTCGAGAGGAAGCCGATTTTACTACAAGTTGATAACTACTGAAGCTGTGTGATTGACACACAGAGGTTTTCTGTACCACCGCCCTCTTTTGCTTCTGTTTGGGATTTTCCTTAAAAACAACAATAAAAACTATCCCAATGAATTAGAACACACAAACACTCCCTTATACACATACATTCACATTCTAGCTCTCCTTGAAAAGGGTAGAGAGGTAGGCACTGCCAATTAGATTATCTGTTAACCTTTTTCCATCCTTAGTGACTTTTTTCTTAGGGTGCCATCTGGTGGTAGAGCTGTGTAAAGCAACCATGCTGAAGATTTTTTGTAGGTAGGATAGCGAGGAGAAAGTAGATACACATGAAGTTATAAGAATAAATTGACAGTCTAATAAAAAAAGGGGGAAAAGGACATATTGCAATATTAAATAAATATAAAAGTAATTTAAAGTTAAAACGTGATGAACAAAAAGTTTCTAGATTGTTCATAAATGCCATTCCAGTTTTTTTGTATTTTCTATAAATTTAAAGTCATTTAATAATTACAAAAATCACTTGCCAAGATAATGTGTAAACACCAACAGCCAATATTTACAGTATGGAATTAACTGACACATTTAGGGATAGATATTAGCTGTTTAGCACAGGTATTCTCATAGTGGAATTGTCAAGTTTCAACTTTATCCATTTATTGCTGATGAAATATTCATCTTTCCTATCAAAATTCTCTCTATATACATTTTCCAGTCAAGCTTACCTTCTACCGCCTTATCTTCCCCTTGTCCTATTTAGATAATTATAATGTCCTATTTAGATATTTCTAATTGGGGAAAAAAGATTGTAAGAGATGTCATATGAGAAAGTTTCTTAAAATTATAATAAGGCGGGTGGAAGGCATATGACTTAGGCATCAATTTTATGGGCCCTAAGAAACCATATCACACTCCCATTCCTTTTCCACCTACTTCTTCTGTTTTATTTTTTATTTATTTATTTATTTTTTTAAGCTGAGCCATCCTGCTACCTGTTAGCAGCTCAGCGGCTGCTCAGCTCAGGCTGGACTCGAACCGCTATTGCTCAGAGCTCAAACTCTTGAGCGAGCTCTTACCCAACTGAGCCACTCGGCCGGCCTGTTACTTCTTCTGTTTTAATGTATTGTAATAGATCAAGAACAATTATGATGGAAGTCCTGGATAAAGGGAACACCCAAGTGAAGTGTTCCCAGGGGTTTAAAGTCAGTCGTCATATTTATTGGATGTGCTGGTCCTGCCCCTTTCACCACAGGACATTTATTCCGAATAATATTGTTTCCAACAGCTTTAGTCATAAAATCTCTCCCACAGAACATTGTTCCTGATTCAAGTGCAATATTTTTTCTGGACTACTCCCGGGGACTTTGGGCTCAAAGCTTTGGTGATACCCTCTCACCTTATAACATAATAAGAAATCCTGCCTCCTGCCTTTCCTGAAAAGGAACACAACCCCCTGTCATGTAACACGGTTCGTTCAGCCATCGTCATGAGCTGGGAAAAGATCTTCAGGGAACTGACTCTTCAATTTAAGACTCTAAAAGGAGCTGCTGTTCTTTAGTTTTACATTTCCTATTTTAAATCAGAAGCTGTGGAAATCAATTAGCCCGATTCCTCTTATCTGTCTTCAGTCAACTCTGTACCTAGAAAGAACATTCTTCACCACTCATTCAAGTTGAGTCTCTTATCTGACTCAATTCTATTTTTCCAGTTTGGTTGAAGCGGAGGCAATGAGATAAAGGTTTCTTTGCCTCAGCTTCAATGGTAACATTTTCTTTTAATTCAGTGCTGGGTCAAGTTTTTATCAGTGGTAGGTGGACAGACTGACTCTTTTATAACTCTTGGGGACTTGTAGCCTAATTTAGCACAACTATTTCATGCAACCAAAGAAACCAGCTCATTCAATCACTTGTTCAAAAACTTTAGGCTGGCTGAATGGTAGGCTGGAATTCCACTGATATTTATATATATTCTCTCGGCTGTGTAGGACCAATCTGTAGCATGTAACTTTACACAAAGAAAGAATACACATTTAAAAATGAGCATTTCCCAGTTTATATATCTTTATTAGTCTTGACCATCTAAATTAATATAAAAATCATTTCTACTCTTACCAAAAGCACCTCAGGAACAAAAATTGCAACTGGTGGCTTTGAAATAGTGTGCTGACTATTAAAAATAAGGTTCTAACCTGTTCTATTTCTAGTTGATTGCACAATGGGTGTTTTCCATCTTTTATTTATGTAATTAGTAAATATCATTAAAGATCCCTAACACACATGCTTTGAAACAGTTGAAAAATAAATGAAATGTAAGGAGCCCCCAAATACAACTCACTTTCTATCAGTAGAGAATATCGTGTGGTCATTTCTGGTAACACCTGCCCATGCTCACCCTGGGATAGCTGCCTATGAGAGCAACCCATCCAAGCACGGGGAGTAGGCAAGTTTTTAGCACCAACCCTGCTACTGTGATTTATTGAAAGTCCTCTTTTCTCTTGATTTTTCATCAAAGCCTAGATGACTTACTCAGGTGTGGAGTGACTTTTGCTGCCAACATGGTGGTCGTGGACAAAGAGAGCACCATGAGCGCCGAAGAAGACTACATGGCAGATGCCAAAACGATTGTAAACGTGCAGACCCTTTTCAGGTAAATGTCTTAATAATGCCACCCTGTCATTTACTTACTGCTGAGCATCTATCTGTAAGATATTTCACGCTGACTCTTTGGAGAAGGAATGAACATGAGATGCTTAACCCTGAAATGATCTTCATTCATTTCATCATAAAACCAATACTTACTTAGCACCAAATACATGGCTGGCTCAGGGTTAAACTCTTAACGTCAGGTCAGTAAGTCTTATAAAAGTGAATGGAATAATAAATCTATTTTCTTGTATAGTTTAATAATAACAAGCTCTAAAACATTCTGTGCGGTACCAGCCATGATCTGTGATGGATTATGCCAGTTTTGGGTGGATGCTAGCACTGGCCAAAGATAAGCGTTTATACTGGCAGCTTGGAATGAAAGGTTGCCAGGCTATGAGCAGGTAACTCACCCACGTTAGGAGCCAAGTCACAACCTTGTCCGAACTATTTTCCTCTCTTTCTTGAATTGACCTCACGCAGATTGGAATTCCCACGTTGGTCAACTTTGGGTAAAAACGAGCTATCCTCATCAGAGGAAAGTTCATGCTCTAAGCAAAGCCCAAATCACCTGTATATCAAGATATCTGTGTCCATTGGGATGATTCTCCCAGAAATCACTTTAAAACATAAATATGTAAAATGTTGTTTCAATGTTATGAGTTTTGCTGAAGTCTAAAGGAAATATCAACGCTACCAAATTACAAAAGTAAATTAAACAGCTTGAACTCCTTCTTCATCTCACCTCACTCCACCTCAGAGCTTCATATTGTAGCAAAGCATATATTGGGAGTAATGATTTGTTTACAGTTTGAGTTCAGAATTCAGAAGACAGAACCTCAGTGTGAGTCCCCCTTACGTCGACTACTTGTAATCTTTGGTGAATTACTTTCCTTCTCTAAACCTCAATGTCTTAATCACAGGTTGTTTAAGATTTTAAAAATATACATGTCTGGTAGTTTCCAATTACTCAATAAATGTTAGCTACTATGATCAGTAACAGCATAATTATCATGTTCGTGTGGCAGGGAGAAAAAGCCACAGGCCACAGAATCACACAGAACACACTCCCTCTGGCACAACCTCCGCCCCGAGCTTCCAGCAGACAGTCAGTAACTCTGTGACCTAAAGTGTGCTTCTTAACCTGGCTGAAATTACTTCCCTCGTCCGTAAGATGTATATGGAAAATAATGAACCCTTTTGCAGTGTTAACATAAGGACAGGAAATCAGGTATAAAAAGAATCTGTTACAGCACCTGGAAAATTGACACTGAACTTGTACAAGAGCCTCTTGTTCCAGAAGGAGAAATACACCCTCTAAAGTTACTATGATGTGGCAGTTCATTAGAATACAGCTAACCTGTTACGAGCTGTACTAAGTAGTACATTTAAAGGGAGCACAGCACATGTTTAAAACACGACAGATCTAAGCAATTATTTTTTCTCTAGAGAATGAAAAAGGAAATTTCAGGGTAGAAAATTAATTCAGAAGGATGAGATTTATGGCCAATGTATAAAGTCAAATCATGCTTTTTTTTCCCCTTTTTTTACTTCATGCTTGGCAAAAGCTAATTATAATTTTAACAGGAGAGGATATCCTGTCTTTTCGATTAAACATGCAATTTTAATTTTGAGCTTACTGTGAGCTTATTTCTATTATGGTGAAGTTTCTATTGATTTGACTTTTATTATATATCATCTGAATGAATTACTTTGATTCCAAGATAATAACATATCCCCATCTTACCGAGAGGTGCAAAGGCTCTAATTCGTCTTTTAAAACAAACTGACCAGAATAGCTAAAGACAGCTATGCACGTGCTAACTGACTTGCAAAGATGGCGTTCCAAGGACCTGAGTGAGGAGGCAACCACGTGTTGAGAGGATGAATGACGAATAGGTGAATACATCTGGATCCCTTAACTATTAAGGTCACCTATCTTCAGAAGAATAGTTTAGAAATTCTGCAATTTTTATGTGCATATACACATCTACACTGAATAGTTTCAAGTAGAGATATCAAAAGAACTATTAGAGACCCAAATTGTGAAGCAATTACTTTTGTTTTCTCCCTTCCTGTGCCTATAAAGGCATTATCGTCTTCCTTTGGTATCCTCAAGGCACTGGTTCCAGGAATCCCCATTGACACCAATATCTGCAGATGCTCCCGTCCCTTCTATAAAATGGCGCAGTATCTGCACATAACCTATGCACATCCCCCCTTATAATTAAATCATCTCTAGATTACTTACAACACTTAACATAACGTAAGTGCTTTGTAAATAGTTGTTATGCTGTATTGTTTAGGGAATAATGACAAGAAGAAAAGTCTGTGCATGTTCAGGACAGAGACGACCATCGCAGGCCTAACTGCACAGCACATGTCAGCAACAAGTAACATTGTTTTTCCAATATTTTCAATCCGAGCTTGGTTGAATCCATAGACAATGGAACCTGGGGATACAGCGGTCTGCCTGTATCATTTCACTAAGTACACAATATTTTTCAGGAAAAAAAAAATTATGACACTTTTCTTGTGAAGTAATTGTTAAGTTACTAATCTATACATGCGAAACGAGGCTAGTCTTACCCAGTAAAACAGTCAGACACCAATACGACTCTGTGACACAGGAAGCATCGTTTATATAGATAAATGACCAACATTGTGCAGACCTGGGAGTTTCATCTCGTAGGTCAGTTACCAGCCTTGGGGGTCACTCTTCACGTTCTTTGAAGATTTCAGTTCCTGATTCACTGTGACCCTGGGCCAACCCTGCCCCGTCCACAACAACCCTTAGCGAGTTCAACAATCCTATGCAAATGATCTTGGTATCTTCCCTCAGCCATAGCCTTTACCTCGAAGTGCCAATAATTTTACCGCCCATACTCTCAGTTTCATTCAGTTGTCTGAGTACACTACTTATTTCTACCTATTTCTTACAATACCCTCAACTTCTCATCATTATTTGTCCCCACTGGAACCTACTGTCCAGAGATTCACTGTGTTTTCACTGTCCATTATCCACAGACACCTGAGGGCTTTCCCTCCCTCCTTCCCCAGACTCAGTTCCAAGATCAATCATTATAATCGCTCCTGTGCTGAAACCCTACACAGATACCTACTATGTACCTACTCAGTACCTACTATGCTCAGTACCTACTACGGGCGGACACTGAGCTCACCGTTTCCTTTCTCCCTCCCAGTATTGTCCTTACAGGTTGTCTAGCCACCACCTTGCATGAAATCCCTTAGAGGCAGATGACAATATTCCAAAGGTAGGATCCAGTGACCCTTACAAGTAACATCAGGTGACCAGAAATTCAATCACAGTGGCTGAATACTGGACCATTTAGGATTCAAGCCCAGGGTCCCATCTCTAAGGGAACTGATACTTACACATTGAGTAGGCATGAGTGTCAGTGTTGGAAGTAGTTAAGGAAGATGATTTAGGTGACACAAAGTTTAACATTTCATATTTGTGGGAGTGTTGGCACTACTTGTAGTCTAAAACTGGTATTTCATGTATCTAAGTGTGTCTATATACCTGGATATTATGTAAACCCTTGTGATTCATCAATAGCATTCCCAGACACACAACAGATCAAAATTTGTAGTGTAACACACTAGCTCAGTATTTTTACTAAAATATAAGAAACATTTTCCAAATTTATAGTGTCTGTGTTTGTTTGTTTGTTTGTTTGTTTTGCTTTAAAGTACAATTGCATCCAGGCTGAATTCTCCTAGTAGCCTGTGAAATAAGGCACATGGTCTATTTTTCATCTTTATATTGGGGTTAGCATAACAGGGCACATCAAAAATATTTATTAAATGAATTAATTCAGGCAGAGAATTATTCCATAAATATTTTACACAGCTACACAATTATACTCACATCACTGAGTCAGAACATAAATTAAGTATAGAAAAGTTTTAAGTAAAACAAACTATTGGGTTGTCGGGAAAGGCATGACGTATTTTTTCTATGTTTTTCGTTAAAAAATACGTCATGACTTTTCTGACAACCCAATATATCAATTTTCAAGTACATTATTGCTTTTGTATGACCCCAGTATCTTGGGAGAAGAAACTTATTATGCCATTTGATTTCTAAAATGTTCTAAATGCAAAAGGTACATAGGTCATAGTAAGGCTCAGAATAGATTTAAAGTATGAGCATTTTAATGGCACACAATGAAATCTATTAGACATTTATAAATATAGAAATATTAGAAATTTATCTATTAGAAATTTATAAATATAAAATATGATTTAATACGAGTAATACTTTATTGATATTAAAGGCACTGCAAGAAAACATTTTATTATTTAAGTGTTATCTAGTTCTAGATTTTCACTAGGTGGCAGACTTAGATAATGCATTCAGTTACTCAGTTTAAAATAACATAAATGGTATAGGCTCATTTATACAGAACAGGAATGGCACATCACATACATTTTCTGGTCTTATCTAATTTCAACTCCTCAAGTCACTTAAATACAGTGATCGGGTCAGTCAACCATATTATCACTCACTCTTACTAAGACCTCAAATATACCTAGTCACAGATGTGTATACTTGTATTTGATATAATGTGTTACAAAAGGATTATAAGATCAAGTAATCACAAGTGTATCCAATGTGAGAGTAATCATATATATGAAAGATAAAAGCTATATTTCTCAAAGAAAATAAAAAAAATTCCCAAAAGATGAAATAAACTTTCTTTTGTTTGCAGCTATGTTTTTCTGCACATATTCCTTCTCTGGCCTTGTATCTCAACAGTGTTCTAGGTGTTTCTCATAAGCTATCCATTCACTAGTGCCTCCTTAATCTATGAACAATCAGTCAGCCACATTTATCACCCTTAGAAAGATATTTACAGCCTTATAATTTACGAATATTTATAGTTTCCTCTATCAGCTCATAGAGTCAAATTTAAAGGCAGGAATTTCATTTTATACTTTTTTATATGTTTTGGAGACCAGAGCTTTCTCTTCCGGTGGGGTCTAACTGATTTCAGTGAGGTTGTAATTGACATTGTCTTTCTGTTTCACCTTTTCCTGTTTGACAGAAGTGACTAGTTGTAGGGTGTGAGAGCTCCCTCTACAGGCCTTCCACATCCTAATTGTAGTTGAAGTTTCCTTTATTAATTTTCAGTTACACTGTTTAAATATATTTCTTAAATAAATGCTTCTGGAACTTCCAGATGGCATGAGATTTGGCAGATGATGGGATTTCCTAAGCTTACCGGATGGAGTTGTGCTGGCCCAAAAGTCAACTGAAATTTTTTTCCATCAGGCCACTCTTGATTTTTCAAAAGTTTCTGAAAAAATGAGCTTTAATTTATCAAATTTGCTATCATTGGGGGTGACTTCTGAGCGAGAAGAAAGAGATCCTAAAAAAATACAGATTATATGGTGTTGCTACAAAATTAAATTACAACATCCTCTTCATCAAGACTTGATCTACTAAACCCAAATACACAAACAAGAATGAGAAATTATTTATTGTAACAACGATTTATTAACTAATGAAGTACAAGTGCACGAATCTATTACCCTCTACTGAAAGGGCGAATGCTTTTCTAGCTGTCAGGATTTCACATGGAGAAAACCAACCAGAGTTTGATGTGAGACGGTGTAATCATCCATATAAATCACATACCAGGGGGCCAGTGTGGAGAGAATGATTCTGATTTGAAGCCTTTTTAAAACTTCATTTCACTTAGATTTGAGTGGAACTTTAAACAATAGTTGGAATGTCAAAATATAGAGAATGAGGAGGAAAGTGCATTTCAAGCAGAAATAGCAACGTGGCGGGGGTGGGGGGGGGAGGAAGCTACGGAGACAGTTATACGACCACAACTAAAAAATAGTAGCTACTGTGCATCTGACTGCTAAGCCTTTCCCAAACTGTACCGCTAAGCTTCGCAACACCTCTCATTCACAGAATGTGAGATTTAGTTTCCTGAGCCAACTCAAGGTAATGGAAGTACCGCAAACACTAATCAACTACACAAATAAAATCATATCTTTAACATTAAAAGTCAGCAAAAGAAATTACGTGCTGATTCTTATTTTGCTGATACTATTTCAATCAAACATTGCAACTCACCGAGATCAAGACATACAGTAATATTTCCTCTCAAAATGGAGATGACATCCCATAATAATGGCTGTATTTCTTCCTATAAAGAGTGGTTTCATGAAACACCTGATGATATCATGGCTTTAATGAGATAAGGCTCACATATTTGTCCATTAAGGTAACCAAAGGGCATACAATTTTCACAGATCTGAAAGAGTTTTTTCAAGAATTGTTTAGTGTCTTAAATGGCATGCTGGTTACCACCCAGTGGAGACGCTCTGGTGGGGCCTGTCATCAGGGAAGGTGGGGCCACAGGCTGGGAACAGACCCTTCAGGCTGCCGAGCCCCCAGCAGGCCCACCCTCCCTGGAGGAAGGGCTGAGTCCTGGCAAATCATCCTCAGCATTAAGGAGCCAGCACTCTGGGGAGTTACAAACTCCAGGCAGAGCTGGAGTTCTGAGACCGGGCTCCATCTTAAAAGAAGTGTTTTGCTCTCTAAGGCACCAACATCAGCACCCTCATTACTGGAACAAGCATAAAATGCGAGTAACGTCAGCTGGAGACGCTGACTTGTGTTTCAGCCACTAGCGGGATGTTCATATCCTGCATATTTTCAGTCAGTTCTCGTGCTTGATTTCAAGGGATGGGTTCAGCCTAGTGGTAGGAATTTAAAGTGGCCATCACTGAGCTTAAAGACAAACTGCATAGAGAACAAAGCTGGTTCCCTTCGTGGCTGCCTTGGAGAATCTCAAAATATGTGAACCCAGGGAGCTGCCAAGGATGCATAGATACCAGCTAAAGATCCAACAAAAGCAACAATAAAAAGGCATTTGCAATGGTATTACCTGGCTCCTTTTTTCTGGAGAAAAAAAAAATGTGCGTGTGCATGTGTGTATGCATGTGTACACGTGCATCTGTATTTGAGTGTGTGTGCATGCGTGTGTGTGCATGTGTGTGTGAATGTCCATGTGTATTTATGTGTATTTGTGTGTGTGTGTGTGTGTGTGTGTGTGTGTGTGTTTGGGAAGGAGGTGAAGGGGAACAAAGAAAATGCAAAGCTATAGGACATGAAAATTCTCAGGATCTTTTTAGAACAACAATGTCAGTTGAGCTTTGGCCTCAGTTCATTCCAGTGAAATGCTGTTTCACTTGAAATATGTCCTCTTCTCAGGAGTTCACTGTTGCCAGGTTTATCACTGACAATCGCCTGCTGTGAGATCAGGGAGCCACAGGAGACCAAAGAGCTCATATTATGGACAATAAGCTCATCACGTGAAACTTTGGCCAAAATACGCTGTTTGCCTTATAAATTTCCATTTCAATATTATCCACAAAGTAACCTTGTACATTCTTAAATCAGCTTTGTGACTTTCTCTTCTATGCTATTCCATAACCGTAGACAGAAAATGTCTAATAGAAGCCAAGCTACTGAATTTATTTTTGTTATGGTGCTAAAATGTTGGTTAAAATCTTCTTTGGAAAACAGTGTCTCATTTTTCTTGCATTGTACAGAACAGTTTTGGGGCATGGCTTGCTGTTGCAATTGCACGTAGTTTAAGCCTAAGACAAGGAATCACTCACTCATAAACATGTTGTTATAAAAATATACCATACTGTATTGTTAGTGTAATGCAAATTTTTTTTTTTGAAATGTAGGTTGTTTTCCAGTCTCAGTATTATCACAGAGCTTACTCACCCAGCTAACATGAGATTCATGCAATTCAGAGCCAAAGACTGTTACTCTCTTGCGCTTTCAAAACTGGAAAAGGTAAGTCACATTTAACTGTTTCGGTTTCAAAGAATAACTCTGGAAATTTCTATGTACAGAAAGAAATGCCATGATATGGCAAAAATAAAAATACTGTTTTGAATTGCTATTTGGGGGCTAAATCTTAATTTATATATATTTTTATACATATATATATAAAGATTTATATAACTCTTAATTTATATATATATGTAATTATATATAAATTATATGCATAATTATATGTAAATCTTAATTATACATATAATTTACATATATATAAATCGTAACTTGTATATATTCATATTTTTAAATGTGAGTTGATGGATTTGAACTATTGGGTTATCGAAAAAGTCATGACGCATTTTTTCAATGAAAAACATAAAAAAAAATGTCATGAACTTTTCCGAAAACCCAATACTTATATCACAGGTGAACATGATGAAGATATCTTGTGTCATCATTAATCATAAATTGAAAGCACAATTTATGAAACAATTAAATACAGCAGGAGTATATATATCCATTTCCAATGTCAATTATATTGATAATATCACAAGTGCTGTGTCAAGACATCTGTATTTATATAGGGCTTTGCAGTTTTCAGAAATCCTTACCGTCGTAGAAAAGTCTACGCTTTGTTGAAAGTTAGTGTCCCAAATGTCCCCACCACAATCTGAGACAAAGCTGAGTTTATTGCCTACCCAGGAAAGAAGAATGTCACCTCAGGTGAGGCTTGGCAATGCCTCCGAGTAGGGAAAGCAAAGTCAGAGTTTATTGAGAATTGAAAAGTTTTATTTAATTCGTGTCTTTCAAAGCAGGGACGCAGTTAGGATTGGGAAGGGAACAGGATACTGCTCATGGAGCCAGTGGAATTGCAGTTATGTGGACAGAAAGGTGTGGTGTGTCCAGGCTGAGTGTGGGAGAAAAGGGTTTCTGTGTTCAGCATGTGGTCAATGCTAGCCTACTGGGAGAACATGGTGGGAGAGGAAAAAGATTCAATGTCACACGTGTGACAGTGTGTTTAAGCTGTGCCATCTTCATAATTTCTGACAATGTAAGAGACAGAGATAAGGATGCCACTATATATATATATATTTTTTTTTTGGTAGTTCTTTCACTTAACTTTATTTTGATTACCAGCGATGCCAGACCCCGCCCTAATTCCTGGGAGACCAACTGTGAAGTGAGGTCATTTCTATACTCCTTCCTGTCTGTTCATTTCCGTCTTCAGGGCTGGCCACATACGCCCTATAGTAGATTCTTTCCACTGCCCCTGTATAGTCAGCGTTAAATAGCTGTTAGGTCCTGCTTCTGAATAAACAGACTGACTTAAAGACATGTCACATGCATTGTTTTCTGCAACATTATACCGCTATCTAGTCCATGCACTACGGAAACTTAACGCCAGTGCTGTTCGGGGCAAGAGGCTTCCATGACGGCACATGCTCTAACAGCCCGGACAGGGTGGCAAAGTGGGGCTAAACGGGCTGAGACTCACGAGCAAACCCAGTTAACTAGAGTTCACCTAAAAATCAACAGCCAAGGTCAGAGGCAACAGTGCTTGTGTGATTTAAAAAAAAATGAGTAGCTAAATGGACAGCACTGATTCAGGCGGACACCCACATAGTGCTCTGATGAGGGGCGAAGGCAAGGGGTGCTTCTGTGAAAGGGAAGGGGGACAATGTCGTGAACAGAAGGAAGGACTTCCTGTAAGTGCAGATGAGCTAATGCAGGGATGCTAACCCTAGAGAATGGCTCCAATTTTCAGTCTGTAGTGATAATGTCTGCTTCCTTGTTACCGTTGCGAACAGTTGTTTGGAATACCGTGGTGCTTCAGGACCAGTCCAAAGCTTATTTTGCCCAGTTTTAACATTCTACAGTTTTGAGGAGTAAGACAGGCATGCAGGACGGTTCCTCTGGGATGGCAGCTCTGACTCCATTTTGAAGTGACTCTGTTGATATGATTTTCACAATGCAATCTATCAGCATTTTTTTTGAAATTGTAAAATCTATCAAAACATTTCCTGAACATCTGTGCTTTTGCTTGCATTTTCCTCTTTATCGGATCTTTCTTTTCGTGTCCATTTTTGTTGCTGACCCTCTTCTCATGGATATTCCCATTATGGCCACTGTTTTCCCATAATCCTTCCATGGTTGGTCGCTGGTCACGATGGGTCACTGACCCTCCTGCTAACACAGCAGGCATCAGAAACAGTATAAGAGCTAAGCAGAGCTGGAAAATGTGACATGTCTTAATGAAACAGAAGAGGAAGACAATTATAGAAAAGAGAGAAATTTTCGTTTGATTTCCCTCTCAAGACTTATTTCGTTTCTCTTGATTTGATGCATTTCATAAAAAAAGAAGCCTTTTATTCATGCTTATGGCACAATTTTCTGCAAGACCGCTGCTTCAAAATTGCTTTTGAACTATCACCATTCCCCAGTGATGATCATAATTACATTTTAGGAATCTTATGGTAATTACACACTAATGTAAGAAGCAAAGTCATAAAATTGTGAGATGAATAGTGCGTTATAGTAAGAAAAATATACTTGGTCTTTGCCCGTCGTTCCTGACACAGACCTTCAAAAGCCCTCGGAATTTCCTGAGTAATAATAAATGTCCGCATGAGGTGGACCCTGAATGTGAGGAAGGAATTTCAGGGATTCCCCGGACAGCTGACCTGGCTCATCGTAGCCATGCTGGGAAGTGCGAAGAAGTCATCCTGAAAAGTAGTGTAGGCGCCAGAGCGCGGGCCCCCCGCTACGGCATCCTGGCTATTTCCTGTGTCATGACTGGGGAGCTGTGACAAGCCATAAAGTGAGGACCTGGGAGATGTGACATCATCAGCCTTGTGCTTTCATCAAATTGATGGGGTGGTGGCCACAGTCCCTGACTGACCAGTTAGTAACTTTGACGAACTAGTTAGACGATTATTCAGCATGATGAGAAATGCATTTCAGTAAAAGCATAAGATTACGTCTATAGAGAGGTACTCAGATCGACACTCATGACTGGGGGTTGGAAACAGATATGAAAGCTGACACAGGGGCACAGACACTCTAGATGAAATATTTAAAGCCCAGGAATAGACGGCTGCCCACAGAGAGCAGAGAGACGGCAGGGGTTGCAATCGTGCTCTAATGACTGAATATGGCTCTCTCTTCTCAGTGTTCCTCCTGCTTGAGTTTTGAACAGTGTTTGATACTCTGTCTTCCTCTACATGTTGAAATCTGCTCACTGTGCCTGTCCTCTGATTCCGGCCGTGCCTGCCATGTGTGCCCGTTCCTGCCCTGCTCCAGCACACCACTGGGAGACCCTCCTGTGTCTCCCCGCCACCATCAAGTCACCACTGCTCTCTGGGTGTAAATATGAACAAATTCATTCCCTAGGTATTTCTATTTCAGCTGAGTACGACATTAAAGAAAAATATCAAACACTGGTAAAAAATTGAGACAGAAGGAAATATGCAAAAACATAAAAGGATGCTTTGCCGTGTGCCCCAGACCCCTTGTTAGCTGGCGGAGGAAACAAGGAGAGGGTTATGGTCTTTCCTCAGCTAAATGGCAGAGGTCAGCGCCCCCGGGCACTGGAAAAGACTGTGAAGGAGACTCGTGCAACCCCAAGAATCTTGCTGGTTCCCAGTTGGCCCCCGACAGATGCTGCACCTCTAATTTTCAGGGGGCTCAGCCCTTTACTACAGCTTCTTGCTTTAACCTGGGCTTCAGCTACCTCGGCTTTGTCCTACCCAAGATGCTCGCCACACTTTAAAGGCCAGATCTGGTCCCCAATTCACAGGAAAACCCAATAAGCCTGCAATAAAAACAGCTAATTCCAGTCATCTCCAAATCACCTATGTGGACGGTTCAAAGCAAGCATTCTCATCACCTAGGCTAATAAATTAGAGAATGTAGTATGGTGTGGTGGGCACAGACAAAATCAGGGTGCCACTCGCCTGCCGTTTCCTTCACCGTCTCCACATCTCAAGTGAGGATATTCTCAGAGTCTGGCCAGGCTCCTCGACCAGACAGACATGAGAGGTAAGGTGGAGTAACTCCTTTTGCTCCTTGGAACGGCTCATGCTGAGCCCCAACCTTACCCATTTTCCCAGGGGAGGCCAGGGGTCAAGTCACTGTCATACCATCATCACGAGAAGCTACGGTGTAGCCCTGTTCATCTCCCCACTCAAGCTTTCAAGTAATGCTGTCTTGTAAAATGGTGGATGGGGGCTCCCCTGCCCCAGAGGTCCCCAAACTTGCTACATTAGGAACAAGAGCTTCCTGCCATTGCTCGGAGACGAAGGGCTGTTTGTTATTTGCTCAGCTGCATCTGTATTTCCCAGTAAAGGAAAGTGGGCAACAAATGAAAGCAGCGTTTTTGAGATTATCACTTGCTAAGTACAAGGGTCGCTTGCATTCTTAAGAAAGCCCCCCAGTCTTACACAAATATTCGCGCTCTTGTCTTCATTTATGGAAGAAAGATAACAGCAGCGGCGTTTTTCAAAAGAAGTCCTCATACACCATCACACACACGCACACACGCGCGCACACACACACACACACACA